CGAAGCTCTCCTTTTATAGTCGAAGCTTCACTCTCTGAAGCCTACTATATTTGACATTTTTCCTCTCTGCAGATTTGCAAATCCCATAGCCTATCACCAATTTTGGCATCTTGCAGATTTTTCTTCTTCATTATTGGGATGGACCCCACAATCTTTTTCTTCTTCATTATGGGGATGGACCCCACATCTCCCCCTCCAGAGCCCTTCTCCTGAAGGAGATAACACTGGACTTCTAGCTTGAGTGCATGCCGACAAGTTCTTTGCACAATTCAAACTTGTCTCTTGGTACCACCTAGGTCAGCATATTTGTGGGATTCTCACTTGTAGAAATCTTCAAGACTTTTAGAGATTCATCCTCTACCATTTCTTTAATCCAGTGATATCTCACGTCGATATGTTTGGTCCTTTCATGGTACATGGAGTTCTTACTAAGGTCTATTGTACTTTGACTGTCATAATAGACGACATACTTCTTCTGATGTAATCCAAGCTCTTGAAGGAACCCTTTCAACCATATCATCTCCTTGCCAGCTTCAATAGCGGCAATATACTCCACTTCAGTTGTAGAGAGTGCGACACACTTTTGCAACCTCGACTTCCATGATATATCTCCCCCTAAAAATGTGAACATGTATCCTGTAGTAGATTTACGACTATCAAGATCACCTGCCATATCAGCATCCATGTAGCCCTTCAAGATTGGATGAGATCCTCCAAAACATAAGCAATCTCCTACAGTATCTCTTAGGTACCTAAGTATTCCCAATGTTCCTTTCCAGGATTTTCAAGGAATCTGCTAACAACACCAACTGCATGAGCAATATCAGGTCTGGTGCATACTATTGCATACATCAAGCTTCCGATTGCTGAAGAATAAGGAACTCTGGCCATGTTACCTTTCTCCTCTACTGTTTTGGGACACATCTTCTTTCTCAACTTTAGATGACTAGCAAGAGGTGTGCTGACTGGCTTAACATTTTTCATGTTGAAGCGTTCCAGTACACGTTCAATGTACTTCTTCTAAGATAGCAACAACTTTCTGCTTGTTCGCTCCCGAACTATCTTCATACCCAGAATTTGTTGTGCTGGGCCCAAGTCCTTCATATCAAATGACTTGGACAGATATCCCTTCTACTTTGCGATCAGCCCCTTGTCTTTTCCTACAATTAATATGTCATCCACATACAACAATAATACAATAAAGTTATTCTCAGAAAATCTTTTGAAGTATACACATGGATCAGAATAGGTCTTTACGTATGTTTGACTTTTCATGAATGAGTCAAACTTCATGTACCACTGCCTTGGTACCTGCTTCAATCCATAAAGACTCTTGTTCTATTTGCACACTGTGTGTTTCTTTCCAGCTACTTCAAATCCTTCTGGCTGCACCATATAAATCTCCTCTTTCAAATCTCCATGAAGAAATGCAGTTTTCACATCCAACTGCTCCACTTCAAGATCTAGGCTAGTTTCTAAGCTCAAAATTGTTCGAATAGAAGTCATTTTGACAACATGTGAGAAAATTTCGTCAAAATCAATACCTTTCTTTTGTTCGAAGCCTTTAACCACCAATCGAGCTTTGTATCTGACCAGCTTGCCATTTCTATCTTTCTTGAGTTTAAAGACCCATTTGCATTTGAGTGGTCTTTTATCCTTTGGAAGTTCAACCATCTTGTACGTGCCATTTTTCTGTAGAGATTTCATCTCTTCTTGCATGGCTTTCATCCACTGATTCTTTTCTGGATGAGACAACACCTCCTTAAGACTTTCTGGCTCCCCATCATTACTGATGAGCACATACTCTGTGAAAGGGTATCTGCATGACTCTACCCTTGGCCTCTCCGATCTCCTTAGAGGTTGAGGTTGTTCTTCTCCCTGAGTGGGGTGATCCCCTTGCTCGACATCATCATCAAGTTGCTCCCCCTGCTCAATAACCTCATCAGGTTGCTCCCCCTGCTCGGCAACCTCGTCGGTCGTACTTTCTGCACTTGTGGGATAGTTAGAAGAAGAAGGAATGGTAACAAGGTTGGCCTTCTCTAACATATCATCAGCAGTTCCAACTTCACTTTCTCGGAAGATTACATATCTGCTTCTAATGAACTTCTTCTTTACAGGATCCCACAATCTATACCCGAACTCTGCATCTCCATATCCGATGAATATGCAGGGAACAGATTTATCATCCTGCTTTATTCTCTGCTCCTTTGGTACATGTGCAAAAGCTCTACAACCGAACAATTTTAGATGTGAGTAGGACACTTCCTTGTTGGTCTAAACTCTCTCTAGGATGTCAAACTCCAACGGAACTGATGGACTCCTATTGATCAGGCAACAGGCTGTCTGAACTGCTTCACCCCAGAATGACTTAGGCAGTTTAGCGATTCTGAGCATGCTTCTCACCTTCTCCACAATAGTTCGGTTCATCCTTTTGGCTACGCCATTGTGCTGTGGGGTTCCAGGAACTGTCTTTTCATGTCTGATCCCATGGCTCGAACAGTACTCTTCAAATTACCTGAAGTGTACTTACCTCCATTGTCACTTTGGAGACGCTTTAGCTATCGACCCGTCTCCTTTTCCACCATAACATTGAAACTTTTGGAAAACTTGAAATACTCGATCTTTGGTTTTCCAAATAGAAACCCATAATTTTCGTGAAGCATCATCAATAAAAGTAACAAAATATTTGTTACCGCCCATCGATTCAATTTCTATTGGACCACAAACATCAGAATATACCGAATCAAGTATATTCAATTTTCTTTCAGACGATGTCTGAAATGAGACTCTATGCTGCTTACGAAATAAACAGTAGTCACAAGGTTTTACTGTTGTACCTTTGGCATAAGAAATGAGTGATTTCTTGGCAAGAATCTACAATCTCTTCTCGCTCATGTAACCCATTCTTTTGTGCCACAAATCTGCAGAAATCTCATCTTGTGCCGCATTCAATTCACCTTGGCATATTTCTACATTTTTCATGTAAAACGTGCCACGAGAAACTCCCTTTGCAATCACCAATGATCCCTGGGTGAGTCTACACTTTTGATTTGCAAAATAGTTCTCGTACCCATCTCAGTCTAAAGCAATTCCCGAGATTAAGGTCATCCGTAAATCAGATACATGCCACACGTCCTTTAGAACCAATGTATATCCGACATTTGTCTTGATCCAAATGTCACCAATCCCCGCAATCTTTGAGTAACTTGTGTTACCCATTCTCACAGTGCCGAAATCACCTGGTACATATCTACAAAAAAAGATCTCTTACCGGTGTGGCATGGTAAGATGTTGTTGTATCAACCACCCATTCCGACTCTGGACCTGACAAGTGTATGCATTCTTCTTCCTCATTTATAAAGAGGACAACATTATCATTGTTTTGCACCATGGCAGTTGTGTTGTCGTCATTTTTCTGGCCACTGCTTTCACCTTTGCTATTCCATGGATTTGGGCAATCTCTTTTGAAGTGACCTGGTTGATCACAATTGTCGCAATTTCTGGCTCTTGATTTGGATCGGTTCTTAGACTTCCCACGAGCTCCAGATCTACCATAGTTGCTCGAACTCCTTTGATAACCCCTGTCTCCACCTTCTGTGATGAGAGCCTGTCCTTGATTTTCAGGCTTCTTTCTCATCTTCTCATTGAGTAAAAGAGCCCATGTGACATCTTTTAACTCAATGGTAGTCTTACCGTGCAGGATGGTTGTTGCCAAATTATCGTACGAAGATGGCAACGAGTTCAATAGCAAGATCGCTTTATCTTCTTCCTCGATTTTCTCTCCGAGGTTGGCGAGCTGTGTGATTAGTCTGTTAAATACATTTAAATGACACAAAAATTTGTACCTTCACCCATGTGTAGGGCGTATAGTTGCTTCTTCAGGTACAATTTATTTGTCAGTATTTTGGACATGTATAGGCTTTACAACCTTGTCCCAATGCCACATGTGGTGTCTTCATCAATGATATTATTTACCACATCATCTGATAAGTGCAACCTGATTACACTAGCAACTCTTTCATCCAAGTCAGCCCAATCCTCAGCTTTCATGGTATCAGGCTTTTTGGCATCAACATCTAGTACCTTGTGTAATCCTTGTTGGATGAGCAGATCCCTCATCCTTCTTTGCCATGTTGAGAAACCGCTATCTCCGTTAAATTTTTCTACCTCGTACTTTACTCCGGATATTTTTATTTTTCATCGAGTATAGTACTACCGACAGTGAATAGTACTTCTGTGAACGAGCAGAACCTGTGCTCTGATACCAGTTGTTGGGAATAAACCTCCTACAGAAGTAATATTCACGATAATAAAAGCGGAATAATAACGTAGCACCGAGATACGCTAATTAACAAGAATAAAAGAGTAACAATGACACCAAGATTTTTATGTGGAAAACCCTTTTGAATAAGGGAAAAACTACGGCTCTGAGAGGAGCAAGTGATATCACTATAGTAAGAAATTTTACCCTTTGTAGGTCCGAGTAAAATACTCCAAAGACCACTACAACACTCAAAAGAAATAACCCTCTTTGATATTCCCACCTCACTATAATATCACTCACACTCTATTTTTCTCACAGACTATTTTCTTATACCCTGTCAATGAAATCTCACTCTTTCTTTCTAACTCTCAAATATATTTTTCCTCTGAGATTGATGTGTAGAAATGATAGCCAAGCTCTCCTTTTATCTCTGAAGCCTACTATATTTGACTTTTTTCCTCTTCGCAGATTTGCAAATCCCATAGCCTATCACCAATTTTGACATCTTGTATATTTTTCTTCTTCATTATAGGGATGGACCCCACAATCTTTTTCTTATTCATTATGTGGATGGACCCACAATTTCCTCTTTTTTCTTTGTTTCATTTATGGGGATGGACCCCACATTAAGGACCACATTTTGATCATTTTTCTCTTCCCTTAAAACAAAAGATATTTGAAAAGATCACTCATTTTCATGCCAGAATAACAATTGATATTAAATTGATGGGAAAAAAAAACCCAAAGCAATCTGATGCTGCAAGTTCAAATTTTACATGCTAAAAAAGCATGACAAGAAACCTTAAGCAAAATCCCATTACTTTCTAATAACTAAACAAAGAAACAAACTATCTGCTGCTAGAAAAAAATGAAATCCCAAAACTATTCAAGAGAGTAAAGGGGACTTTCAGTTCATCTAATTTAATGAGTTTAAGTCCAAGAAAGACGCGTCCGCAGATGCTTCTACTTTAGAGTTTAGTTCCATTTGCACATATATATGGCAATTGTTCCTCTTTGAGGAAGATAGTGATAACCTCCAATTGCCCATATTTAGTTATTTCAAGACTTCATCAGATCAGAAGCTTGCTACACTCGTCAATGCAGATAATGTCATATGAAAATTTCAAGGACGACCGTGATCTTGATCTTCCATTTCTTCAAGTATAACATACTTAGCAGCTCCATTTCCTAAGGGTGATCCAGGCATTTCATCTTCACCTGTGCTACCTCTTTGTAATTTGTCATACCTAAGGAGCGAAAGTGTAAAACGACTTCATTACATGGCGTACCACCATCTCAACAATTCAAAAGTTCTACAGTAGCAGAAAGCAAAAAAAAAAAAAAAAAAAAACATTTCTCTGGATCACAAAAGTAATCTAGTGAAGAAGATGAGAGAGGCACCTAGCAATTTTAGTCCATAGACATATAAGTACTTCAGGTCTCCAACATTATCATCATTTGGTCAAGTAACTAAATGTTTTCAAGAAAGGAATATCTAATCAAAACCATTTACCAACTATGAACACATAGCCAAGGAACAATCACTTTTGTCAAGTTAACATCAGTATGCTTCAAATTAATGGCTACCAAAGTCCCATTTGCAATATTAAAAATGGGCCAGTATCAACAATTTTAATTGAACTAATAGCTTAAGTACACATATGTCAATGTGCTTTCTTTTAACTGATGACCTGTCCTCATGGCGGAAATACTTAATTAGAAACTAGCACTTATGCCAGATAAGTTCAGTTGAACTGAACAAAAGAAAACACTGCCCAACTAATATGCACAAACGTCAAAAAATATAGTTCTATTGATTAAGGATTAAACTGCTAGAATGATCAATAGTATTTTTAAAGGTTATAAGAAAAATAATAACGGAGAGACGTTGATATACAAATTCTGTTATATCCTTTATTTACTGATTATGACTAAATTAACATGACATAGATTTCTAGATAAGAATATTCATATCCTTATGAATGGTCCAGAAAGGTTGTATGGCACATTTATAAAGCTGGCCAGAGGCCACAGTCAGGATTTTGTTCCCAAATGGTCCAAATAAGTATCAAACCATCACAAAATTAGACTTACAATCTAGAAAACTTCATATCATTTAAAATATCAACCACAGGAGAAACTTGCAGAAATGAAAGAGTCATGGTTACTGGTAGACATATACTAACTGAGGATCAGCCGATCAGGTATTGAGAATATAAAACAAAATGTATACATATTCTGTAGTTGATAGTTTAAGAAAGAACTAAATACTAATCTAGTTTTAACGTCAGCAAAGAGCCAGTAATAATCACAAAAATAACTTATTGGTGTCACTTACTTGTACCAGTTAAACAAACTGACACCAAACATTATGGTCATGAGACCTAGCCCTTTCATCCAGGTAAACTCATCGTGGAAGTAAAATACAGCAACCTGAACAGGCAGCAGACGTAACAATTACCAGCTAGTTTCAGAAATTCTAGAAAACATGGACTCCAGAAACCACAGAATCTTTACATTTATTGAATACAACTCATTACTGAAGTAAAAGAAGTCGACCAGCTATAAACAGGGCTCAACAACAACAACAACAACAACAACAGCAACAACAAATCCAGTGTAATCCCACAAGTGGCATAGTCTGGGTACCTTACCCCTACCTTATGAAGATAGAGAGCTTGTTTCCGGTAGACCCTCAGCTCAAGGAACAACGAAACTAAAGCAAAAAAACAGCGCTCAAAGTGAATAAACTTGCATTGATATCACTTCCATTACTATATACAAATGCCCCTCGCTTATAGTGTGTACACTTCCAAATGATTCCTTAATCAATACGAACACCTCCAAATTCACAACATGCTTAGTCTGTTATATGGTCTGATTTGTGTATTGCAACTTGCAAGCGACATATGCTAAAGTTCCTCTCTTGTTAGGATAAGTATACAACTCGAACTCTCTATCTAAGTTGCTCCGACACGGCAGTTTAGGTTCCGCACCCGTGTCAACACGATACTCGTATGGGTGTGGGTATGAGATCCATACTGGATCTGGTCAAACAATTTTGGGTATCTTGATCACGACGGACGGAAGAATTCGAGACGGGATGCAATTTGATTCCCGAGATCAGAACCAAAACTAGAGTAAATTTGAAGAAAATAGCATACCTACCTAGGAAATCAATCCTTTACTTATCTACGACTTGAGAATAAAAAAAATCCACATTTTACAAGCTATACGTAAGTATTCCACAAAATTTCTCAAAATTTAGAGATATTTTTATTTTTTTGAATTATTTTTAGACGGATCCCCGCACCCGTATCTATACTAGGATCTTTATCCCCGGATCTTAGAAATTACATCTCGAAGGATTCGACCTCTAGATCCACACCTATGTCGGACACCCGCACCCGTGTCCGAGCAACTTAGCTCTCTATCATGTTTCCTTTCTAACATATGTTCTCATACTAAAAATGAGCATTGATATAGACAATCTTTCTATCCCCTCCCCAACTCCCAAATGCGCGCAGTTAACAACACAAAACAAAAGGAAGAAAGTAAGGATGTCAGTGCTAAGTGACCATTCAAAGGACACAAAAGAATTATTGTAATTAGTAATCTTGATTCACCAAGTATTTACAAATTACAAGTTACAACCTTTTCTGGCAATAGATATTCTAACAAATTGTTACGAACAAGCGGACAGACCAAAGGTAAACAAGTACTCGTTATCTCCATTTTGATATAAAACTTCTCAAGAATATGGTACGAGAATCACAGTTCAAGCAATAAAGAGATCCTTCTATGTCAAAATATCAGTATTATAGGATATAGGAAAGTTCCATCATCAGTACATTCCTTGTGTTCGCTTTTATCTATTGTTAGTTAGTTTCAATAGTTTTATTCAAAAAATAACTTAGTTTATAGTTCATACCAAGATAGTGACCGCCTCCTTTACAACTCCCGCTATTGTTACTGTTACTGCACTTGTGATAGACACAAGAATATATTCCGTCAACACCTGCAGTTAACATATTGCCAGGTACGAAGGAAAAAGAGTTAATCACTATTAGAAGGCATCATTTTCTCCAGAAAAAAGAGGAAAAATGAAACAGGAAATCCGCAATAAATTGAACTGACACCGGTCACCTTAGACACATACATACCATAAAGAAAGCCAAAGTTCCACCAAAGAGCATCAGCAAACAACTTCTAGCTATATGCCATGAGCTGTCAAAGTATTTGGTGCTTCCGAATTCATACCACGGATCAAAAATAAGGGACAGCACAGCAGTTGAAAGAGCCATTACTGGCGTAACATAGCTCATTAGTGTGAGTGGATTTCTTAGACCTAGAAATAACCAAAGCATGCATGTCATACACAATTTATTCACAACTATCAATTAATTCAGAATGTTGAAGATTGGTTGAAGTTATTAATTGTCCTTACCATAGACTTCTTTCTTTATGCCAGTTTTATGCCAGTACGATCAGTTGGATATGGGAGATAGGAGAACAAACACAAAATACACAAAGTAAGCAGATATTCAATTGAGAAAACAATGAAAGAGAAATCACTGATAACAATGAAACGAATGTCATAAAATCCTACCTGCAGAAGAATCTGAGTCATAGTCCAGCGAAACCCAGACATAACTGCAGCAAGCATAACAAAGACGAATCCCAAAAATTGAAATTCTGTCTCCTTTGCAACTGCATTATCAGAGAATAAAGGTCAGACTTGTCTATCAAACAGATCCAATTTAACAGACAACACATTATCCACAAGGTGACAGTTAGTGAAACACTCGTGTAAGAAAATTACCTAAGTCTATAAAAATTGATAATGATAGTTGTCAAAAGAACAACACCTTATGCAATGATCAGTTGAGTTCAGCTACAACTACTCCTTTGTCTAGATGTAAATATATCTACAGCAACGGTAAAGTTGTCTCCTTGTGACTTATAGGTTACGGGTTCGAGGTGTGGAATCAGCCACTGATGCTTGTATCAGGGTAGACCGCCTACATCACAACCCTTAGTCTGCGGCCTTTTCCCGCTCCCTATGTGAACGCGGGATGCTTCATGCACCGGACTGCCTCTCTAAATATATTTACAGCAATCAAAATACTCATGGTTAAAACCTTAAGTTGCTACATCTCTTAAAAGTTAAAATAACCTTGCTCGATCTCAGTTGTCACAGTTCTATCTACTTTTGACTGTAGTATTCACTACTAGAAATCTGCCCGATTTCGTCCAACAAAACCGACCGACATCGGTTGGAATTTGAGGAAAAGCAACCGATTTCCGACCTCTTTTAATTAGTCGAAAAATCAATGGATGCTAAGGTGTTGCGACCGAAATCTGCACCTTTGAGGCATTTCGGAAAAAATTGAAAATTATATAATCCTTTTCTTCCTTGACTATCTTCTGTAGGCGGTACTCTCATCCTAAGTTGCTCCGACATGGCAGTTTAGGTGTCCACCCATGTCAACACGACACTAGTATGGGTGTGGGTATGGGATCCGTACCGGATCTGGTCAAACAATTTTGGGTACTTTGACCACGACGGACGGAAAAATTCGAGACGAGAAATAATTTGACTCCCGAAATCAGAACCAAACTAGGGTAAATTTAAAGAAAATAGCATACCCTATCTAGGAAATCAACCTTTACTTATCTACAACTTGAGAATAAAAAAGAAATCCACACTTTACAAGCTATACATAAGTATTCCACAAAATTTCTCATAATTTAGAGATATTTTTATATTTTTGAATTGTTTTTAGCCGGATCCTCGCACCCGTATCTCTACTAGGATCAGTATCCCCGAATTTTAGAATTTACATCTCGAAGGATCCGACCTCTAGATCCGCACCCGTGTCAGACGCCGAGCAACTTAGCTCTCATCACTTCCCTCATCAGCTCAAGTTCCTTTAGTTATATTTAAATTAAGTATCCATCTTAACTTTCTCATGACGGCTACTGTTTTTGCGTTGACATACTTTCAACTAACCCTCTAAATGAAATGAGAATGTACCATGGAAAGAAGAAAAAATTATGAGACTAAACAAACAGAAATAAGAATGATCATCACAAGATTACAAACAAGAAATATTGTACTAAAAAGTAAATCTTTTTACCAGTGCACAAGTGAAGTTTATTGATTTGATTTAATAATGACAGATAAAGACGAAGATCATTAATATTTATATGCGGGTAAGAATGACAGATAAAGATGAAGATCATTAATATTTATATGCGGTAATGGAATTAATACTACAAAAACATATGCAGACAACTACATGCAAGTAAGTGTCAAATACCTGTTAATAGTATCCCAACAGAAATGATCAAGATGATCCCCATCAGCTTTAAACTTGGAGACTCCAACCTTCCAAAAATAGTTGACGTCAAAAGCAAGGGCATCAGACAAAATATATGCAGGTTAGATAAGAGCCCCAGTCAAATGTATCATATTCATCAAAGATAATTGTTGCAGAGATACTTTCCGACTATTATGTTGACAAATAATATCGTTGGATATACATCTATCACACAGCGTAAAAGATTAACCAGAAATACAGATTCTTCTCGCCCCAACCACCCCCCAAAGAAGCACTATTAAACAAAAGAGATCACTGAATAAAGTAGTACCTGAAAGCAAACGCGAAGAACAGGAGAAAGATGGGAGATGCAGATTTACACTGCAATGACATAAATTGGCTTTAGGAGTCCAGAATTTTTATCCGAGTAAAGGAAGGAGAAAACAGAAGTAATAAATGCATTATTCTAATTGGTAGTAGACGGTTATTACCCCTCCCCTTGAAGTCTTTGACAATCACAATTACTTTAGTTGCAGAGATTTGCGACTCTCACTAGCTAGTGGATAATTAAACTTTCAAAGTATATACATGCAAATTTCTAGAGATTACAATGAACATTATGGTTGTGAGTTTCACTAGCATGCTTCCTTAAAGCTCAACTTTTTTGATGAAATTTGCAGTCTGTCAGCATTGACAGGAAAAGTCTGATAAAAACAAATTGAGGAGAAAGAGTTACACACCATAGTGGCAAATGTGACAGAGATGAAAACAAGGGATGCATTGCTGAGGTTGACATCCATTGCCGTTGTGAGAGCTGTCGGTACAACTGCAAAAGGCATAGGCCATCCCATTTTATGTACAGAATCAGTTCATTAAAAACCATTGTCGATATATCAGTTATAAGATAGTAAGTGTAACATATGGGTCAACTAAGTCACAAGCTGCGGCAAGCCAATTAGCTTTTAGATTATTGAAGCTGTAAACTCATAAAATGCAGAAACTAGACATAAAGAAATATGGAAGGATCATTTCTAGCCCATTAATAAATCCTACTATCGTCTTTGTTACATTTTGTAAATATATAAACATATTTTACACATATCTCCTGAAAATCTCAACAAGTATTAGATCTGAACCCATAACTTTAGCATTATAATGAGTTCAATACTGAAAATCTTAAAAGTTGAACCAATAAAATGTAAATTCTGGATCCGCCTCTGAATCCATGATATTAATACTTACAAATCATGCAGTAATATACTTTAAAGTAAAAGGGCATTGCTATCATAAAGTTACCTCTCAAAGAATAGTCTCTCCAAGACATCATTACTGTAGGTTGAAATCTATGGGACCAGAAGCCAGTAATGGCCTTGGACAAAACGGCTTGCATTGCAAAGTGGACAGTGTTCATCAGTAAAGGAGCAGGGAACTTCCCTAGATGATCACCGAGAAGAGTTTTATTGTACCTATTCCACAAGTCAATATATGAGACGAACAAAAACATCCTTGAAGCTTCAATATACAAATTCAACTACAACTACGCTTCAGTCCCAAACAAGTTAGCGTCGGCTATATGAATCCTCGCTGGTCATGTTCCCTATTTAAATTCATCTCCGGCCACATTTTACAAAATAAAAATAAAAGTTATAAGTACTAGAAGTTCTCTATATTTCCTACTGGCATAAGAATTTCTAAAAGGGCTAAGAGACTCCTAGAGTGCACAGGACCTAAAGTAAATGTATAAACATGACTAAAATATTTGACATTTGAATACACATCAATGAGAAAAAAACAAGAATCAATGAAATTCAGTACTTACAATGTCAAGAACAAACTGACGCTATACCATACAAGTATGAAGAAAAATGTCTTCAACATATCAACTTCTGAAATAGCAGCATTCTTTGAATTTGACTGTGGCGTGTCATGGTAATCCGAGAAGACTGAGTGATCGTCATCATCATCGCCATCATCACCATCACCATCATCGACAGATCCTCGATGACTCGAGGAACCATTCTCTACATCAAATGGAACATACCTATCTTCTCCACTCCCTACAGAGTTACTACCAAAATCACCACCACCCCTCATTCTATGCTTAAAATTACTACTACTTTGGTTTGTCTCTGTGCCTATAGATACAAAATCAAATTCCTCTACACCAATATTATGTCTATTGACTAATTGAGCTGAATGAAGAGTGCCATTTTCATCAAACCAACCTGAAAAAGAAGGGTCCCTATGACAACCTGAACCTGAATCTTTACTCCATAAGTTGTCACTTCTACTACTCTCCTCAATATTCTCTTTACTCAAATCACTCTCCACCATCTCTATATAACATGTTTTTTCAATGGTCTATTTGGCATTATCTTGTTAATTCAGTCATAAAGGCAAGGCTAAAAATTCTTGAAATATCACATTAACGTTCAAAATCTTTTAATAGTATAAGGAATTTAAATTCTTGAAATTGGTAAAAAATGCATAAAATGGAACGTGTCAAACAATTTGTAATAGTAAAAATCATAACTTGCTGATGGAATTTCACATTGAATCTGAATGAAGAATTCCCATTTTATGCACAAGATTTGCAGAATGTAAGCCTTATTGATCCACAAAGAAAAGATCAATAGGGATCAAACGTCATGCATGTTAAAGAATGCAATTAAACAAAACGTTAATGAAGACTAAAGATGAAGAGATGCAAAGAAGATCATAATCAGAAAATGAAGTTGCGATTTGATCCGTTAATTTCCGTTAGGTGGAAGGGAGAGAGAGAGAGAGATACATATATGGGTCTTGTATTTTAATTTCTCTAAATGATTTTTTTTAACATGTATGAGCTACACACCTTAAAGAAAGAGACTTCCAAATATTTTTTTCTACTCCCAACTTTAATATTTTTCTCCGACTTCAACCAAATATTATTTAAAGGCCTAATAAATTGAAACGGAGAAAGTAATACATTTGATTTTTTCTGAAATTTTGAAAGACATCTAAATAACATTTGGTGCTACTTGTACTTAAAAAAGACAGTCAGGTGGACTAAACTCCCGCTATTTCTGTCTTGTATTTACAAAATGGAGCATCCAAAATTACCATCAAGAATTATAGTATAATTTTTACAACTAAACGATTGTTTCTAACCATCAAAATTTCAAATAAAATGTTTAACTGCAAGACAATGTTATTTTTGAGTGAAACGACATTTCTCACCTAGAGAATTTTGAAATGCCAGTGTGCAATTGCATGAACTGGAATATCACAAGGACATTCCTTAGTATAGAACTCATGCAGCGACTACAATAGTGCCAAAGAAAAATTAATCTTTTATTCTAAAAGTTTTGGTATTCTTATTTCTTTAATTAGTTCGTTGTAAACTTGATCTCTTTTCTCAAATAGAAAACAAAATACTTCTCTCAAGCATCCATAAAGAGACTTTTTCCTTCCTATACCATATATGAAACCTTATTATCAAAAATGTGCATAGTTTCATATTTACCCGCCATGTTCACAGTTTTTCTACAATTATTATACCATTCATTAAATACTAATTATTAGGAGCTGATTCCTTCCTAATTAGGCGCGCTATGATAATAGGTGAATTTGACTATAATCACGCACCAAATAATCACCTTCTTGTGAACTTTTAATGTGGAAAATGACAACAAAATGCTCTTATTAGTGCTTTACATGATTTGCAGGTGATATAGGTGTAAGGAAGGCTAAGGAGCGGTTTTGGAGTCAACTATTGATGAAAAGAGGCTAATTGTTGAATTTCCCAAGTAACCCATTCAAAACAGGCCAAAATGCCCGGGTACAAGTTCCACCGCGGTTCTACCGCGACCGCGGTGAAACCGCGATGGAAGGCAGTCTCTGAAGGTTGAAGATTCCGCGAGGGCGTTTGACCGCGGTGGGCACAATGAACTTCGGGGACTTAAGTGTAAAACACGGGATTTTTAGACCTAAACCCTATTTAAAACGCTAGACTTCGCCCAAGAGAGGCATGTATTGATTTTTTAGGTTTCTTAGCAAGGAAAACCATTGTGAGCAAGTACTCTAAACATCTTTCTTCCTTTCTTTTGATTTTTATGATGAATTCAAGCGTAGTTTATTCTCCCATATCTATGAGTAGCTAAATTCCTTGTCTAAGGCTTTGATGGAACCTATTGGGTGATGAACTTCTTGTTTATGTGAATACAAATTGCAAGTTTAATCTTTATTTGTTCAACTTCGTGTTCGTTGTAGTTAATTGACAGGATCCTCAATTAGCTGTACCTATTTAGTGTGCATAACTTGGAAAAGAGTGCATATTTAGGATATTGTTGAACAACACCACTCCTAGATTATTAGAGGAATCTATAATTGCGGGTTTAAAGGCGGGATTAGGAATAACGAAGCCTTGGGTGCAATCTAAATTGAATTGTGATTAAATAAAGCAAGTTAGTGTATCTCGGGAGAGTGCAATAGTAGATTACTGTGATTACTCGGGAGAGATTTGCGGTAAGATTAGCGTTCATGATTGATAGAGATGTGTGGGTAAATTTGTATGAGCATAAACAGAAGGAATTCCATCAATAGGGGAAATCATTGCCTTAGCTTTTCCTCATAATTGTTTACAACCTTATTAAATTAGTTACAACCATTTAGTTACTTGCAAGCTAGTTGTTAAAGAACACTCAACTGAGAATTTTGAATGTTTGAGAAGCTGGTGCTGAATACTTGGTGGGTTTGAAGATAGCGGTTGATAGGTTAACTCTCTGTGGATTCGACCCTGGGCGTAATACTCGGGTTATATTTGCAACGTCCGCAGAGTTCTTTTCTAGAAGGCATAGTTGGGCGTGATCACGCTACAAATCAGGAACAGAATATTCTAATTGATTTAGCGACCTTCAAATCAAATTTGAAACGCAAATCCTATATCTTCAATTTAAAATCAAATTACATAGACTCTTTTCTGCAAAAACTCTGTTCTTCGATATTTTCCTTAAGCCACAAATCAAAAAAGACAAAATCGTCAACAAATTCGAATCAAATTGTAGAAATCAGTTCTGCAAAAACTCAGTTCGTCGACATTCTCTCTACATCTCTCTCTATTTCTCAATCGCAAATTTCAGTAATACAAAGCAAATGAAAAGAGAGCAGCAATTCCACCATTGACAGCCATTAAAAAGCTTGAAAGCTTTGAATTCAAATTTGGGTTTTCAAAAATCATTATTTGTTTGGATTGGGTGTTGTTGAAAATAATCGTGAATATGGTTTGGAGTTTATATCTCAATTTTGAGGGGTTTTGGTGAAGATTAGACTTGGTTTTGACTGAATTTCAGATTGAAACTCGAAGAAGAAGAAGAAGAAGAAGAAGACATATTGCAGAAATTGTAGATAAATTGTATTCTGATTGTAGATGCTTTATTTTCTGTTTTCACAAATAAAAACAGCTAAAACTTCTACAAATCTTCTGAAAAAATGCAATTATGTCAAAAATCCCAATTATGCTACAATTGAATGAGAATTGGGATATAAAGATTCAATGTACCCAGTTTGTAGATATTTTGTAGATAAATTATAGATTATTTGTATTCTAATTGTAGATGCTTTGTTTTCTGTTTTCACAAATCAAAAACGACTAAAACTTCTACAAATATTCTGCAAAAAATGCAATTATGTCGAAAATCCCAATTAAACTACAATTGAATGGGAATTGGGATATTAAAATTCAATGTACCCAGTTTGTAGATATTTTGTAGATAAATTGTAGATTATTTGTATTCTGATTGTAGATGCTTTGTTTTCTGTTTTCACAAATCAAAAACGACTAAAACTTCTACACTAATTACTTGATCGCGTAAAGAAATTAGACACGTATGCCATTCATTATTCTTTTCGAAATCCATTTTGAAGATACGAATTACCTAATTTATTTTTGAAGATCATTAAGCTCGACCAGTTACTTGATATCGTTTTCTGCAAATTTCTGTTAGGTACGTACTTTACCGAACTAGCCCTGCCATACCTATTGGCTATTGCCAACTAATGGAAAAAGGGAACAAAAGAAGCTTTGATGTTACATTTTACTTTGTTTCGCAGCCACTAATACTGCAGTATCACTAAGTATCTCAAACATATAAAACATCCAGAGAAATGTGAGGGCCCATCATCTCAGAAGAGGTATGCAATTCCAACTTCCTTTTGCCTGTTTACAAGAAGAAAATGGATTACTTCATTTCGCAGCCACTAATACCTCATAATGTTGCGACATTATGAGGGAACATAAGTACCAAAGAATTATGTTATCAGGTCTTCCCAGAGGCTCAAAACGTGGGTGAGGGTGAGGGTTTGGGAGAGAGAAACGTGGGAGGGGTAGGATATACGGTACCTTGAATTAAGGAGGGATATACGCTGCATTAATTGTACCCTTAAAATACACTATGGTATAGAATTGGTAATTTGGTATACTAAGTGTAATTAAGTCAAACCTTAAACATT